GGAAAACAATTAAGAGAGAGAGAAAGAGAGACAGAGAGAGAGAGAGAGACAGAGAGGGAGAGAGAGAGAAGTCCTAGATCACTCTGTTCCTGGGCTCCCCAACTTCACTGATTAATATGAAGAAAAGAGCATTCATTTTCCATTCACCCATTTGTTCACTCACCACTCATTCATTTAAAACTCATTCATTTATTCAGTTTTTGCTGAATATTCATGAGGCCCAGGCACTGCTGCAGGGTGAAGGAAAGGAAATGTGAGTGGAGGAAACCAAGTTCTGACCATAAAAGAGCATATATCTGGTGGCAAGGACGGAAATTCACAAAAAGAACAGGCTTAATACATGTGTGCTTCTTGGGAATAATGGAAAGAATAATCAGATGAAGAAGCAATGATGTTCCTTCCATGCCAGGGATTAGACCTATGACCTGATGCATGCTAAACATCTGCTCTACCAACAAGTTATACCCCTAGCTCAAGGTTTACCCGAGAGAGTTATACTACCAGGATTTCTATCTTTCAGAATTTTAAATTTTAGAGATTTTTTTTATTTCTTCCAGTTTCCACATTCAGGATTATAACATTTGGGATCATGTTTTTCAGGATTATGGTGCAAACCCACTTTGTGAGGTTTGAATGAGATCATGCAATTATGTCGCTTAGAATAGTACACAGCAAACAGCAAACTCCAAAAAATGTTAGCTGTTAGGTTAATTTTACTAGTAGTGGTAGGAAAAAATGCTCTCTTACCCAATCTATGGGATTCCAACTATCAGATCCCTCTCATAATTCTCTTGGATGAGCACCTCTTTAGCTGTCGGCTCTACTGTAGTTGGAACAGTTTCAGACACTCTACAATCATCCTTTCTTTTCTGTCCCCAAATAAGTAGCACCTACAATTCATTTTATAAGCATCATCTCCACCTCCATTTCCAGGGACACAAGGAGACTGGGTAGATTAGGTAGATCATGGTGGATAAGGAAGAGTCAGAGATGGCGATGAGGCAGCAGGAAGCCAGGACACTGTCAAATACAGAGTTAGACCCCTGGATCGGTTGGCATCAGACTTGAAAATGAGTTCTGAATTGAGAGGGATGAAAATCTAAATGTTACTGATAATAAAGTGGGAAAACCATGTGTGTGTGGCCACATATGTGAACACACACATGCCATGTGATCTCTACAGCATCAAGTTAATTCTGTTTTGAGCTGAAAAGGAGGAACATTTTTTTTTTTAAATTCTCTGTATATATTAAAATAGCTATTTTATTGGTTATAGTTACAATAGTGGTAGAAACAACAGAAAACTCTAAATTTTAACTTTAAAAATGAATATTTTACACAACAAGAACTTTGCTCAATGTTAAGAATAAAAATACTAATTTTAGAGTAAAATTTTAGTTGAAAATTTTATCAGCATACTGAGACTAATTAATGGCATTTTAATAGATATATTCACTAATACTCACTATTTTACACATAAATATTCTCCCAACATTTGTTTTACTAGTTATGAGATTTTTGTCTTGATTCAAATACATAAATAGGGTATCTTTCATTTCAAATTCAAAATAGCCTTAGAATAGCATATTCTCTCTCAGTGTATGGTAATACTAGAGTGACTTGTAATTAACATAATATCATCAGTATGCAAATATGCATTAACAACAGCTTTGTGTATAAAATGTCAATCAATATTGGGTCATTTCATTATCAGGATGTCAGGGAGATTGCTATTTCACTGAAGTAATACTTCATCTGGTTTTATGCAGATATCCATGCAAATATTGCATTAAATACAATTATCTTCTCTCCCAATAGGAGACAAACAAAAATCTATGACTGACTAAAATTAATAGTGATATATTGAAAAAAACAAAGGTTACATATGACAACTCTGGATTAACAATGATTAAACTATCAGATTCGTTTATGCCTCTTTCTTAAAAATAGTTACTGTGGGTTTTCTGCTATCCTCACTTAGCTGTCACTATAACAGCCATTTTTTTTAAATTCAGCTAATTTAAATGTGCCTTTATTGTGATGAATGTAATTTAAATGAACTCTGATAGTTTTGACCATAAAATATTACAGAATCTGTAATAGTTTCATCATCTTCTCATCTCAGGCTTGTACAATAACTATTTTGGAGGTTTATAAATTGAATTCATAAACTTTCTCACACAACTATCTTCTAAAATAGAATAATATTAATGAGTTCTGAAGAATAGTGAAAGACAGAGAGTATAAGAAAAAAAATCTCAAAGACTTATACTATCCTTCAAACCTTGGATGAGTTTTACTTTGCATGAACAGATTATTTCTGGGAGAGTAGCAATGGGGTCTGCAATTTGAGGGAGTTACCATCATTCCATGATGGGTATGCCTTTATTTGTGCATCAAGGATGGAAAAACACTGGAGTTTAATTACTACTGAATGAAAGGCCGACATTTCATTTATTCACATTAAGAGAGCTGTAACTTGAAAGAGTGATAGAATACTCATGTCAGCTACTCAGCAGACTTTCTGCATATTAGAAAAATCTATTTGGGAAACCAAATTAAATTTAAGTAAAACTCTTATTTAATACAGAGCAGGACTTGACTTCAGTGTTCTTAAGGGATGGTAAATCTTTGCCATAAATCTCTATCAAACAGGCAAAGCATGTTATTTGCAAATTGTGATTTCATTTTCCTTCAACATTTAGAAATATGATCCACAAAAACTATGCTGCATATAAAGATATCGCTGAATATCTTAACTTATTATTGATTACAGCTCTTTTTGTCTTCTCAATGTTACTTCACATTGCACATGTTAAAATCAAATTGATTTTAACATTTTAAAATAATATTACTTTGTATCTATCATTCTCTGTACTAATCCTCTTAAATTTGATTATTTTCAGCTACATTTATGACTCACCACTTTCAATTTGTTGTTTCATTGGAAGAAATCTGTTAAGATTTATTTTCCATCCACACAACTCATCATTGACCCCAAATTGTTCAATTCCAGGACAAAGCACTTCTGGCCTGCTTCTGACCTGCCATTTCAAAAGTGAGGCTCCTCCTTATCCAAGAAGGTGCCCACCAAGAGACTCCAGGATATGGTGATGGGGTGGGGAACAGCAAGGTATTTCCTCAGAACTAAATCAAAAGTATATCCTGGATATGGGCCCTTCTTGTAATCTCAGAATGAACAAACAATTTTATCTAAAATAACTCATTTAATAGGTATAGGAACATCTACTTGTTGAACATTCTTCAAAAATATTCATTTGATTTAGCATATAAGTTTACTGCACTCAGTAATTACAACTCAGTCTAGTAATTATAGCCATAATTTTAAAGCAGGTACTCTAGATACCTGAATGGCAGAGGACTGTACCATGTTGGATAAGGTCATGAAGCTGGTGACATAGGCCAGATTGTGACCTGTATGATCTGATTCTGAGACAACAGCATTGGCAGAATGGATTTTTCCTGACTCCTCTTTGGTTATGTTTTTAATTCATCTCCTGACGTAAGTCATAACATGAGTAATTGTAATGGTAAAATAAAACTCCAAATAACTTCACAAATTACTTTATATGCTGTAATTGAATTTTAGAAACATACAAACAATTTTTCAGTGACACTGCAGCCAGAAATCTGGAGGAAAGAGTGGGTGGTTTGGCATCCTATCCTGGGTCTCAATCCCTTTTCCCCACTTACTGGCTGTGTATCATTGTACCAAAAATGTACTGTCCTGGAAGCCCTGATTCCTGACTTGACCACAGGTGTCAGATGGCGTACCTGTATGACTTGGGCTGTGCCGAACACACCATGGCTCCTACTTTTTAATAGTTTTTCTTCTCCCTAGTAATATGGCTTATGACAAGAATGATGACCATGTGTCCCAGTATTTTACAATCACTAGTTACAAATACCTACCCATGTGAGGAGCACTGGGAAACAGTCCACCTCTGAGAATTCTGGGATGAGCACAGAAAAATAGTAAAAATACTAAGACTTGGGAAGTTAATGAGGCCAAGAATAACTACATTTTAGATGTGTTAATATTAAATTGTACATTTTATTAACAAGATGACTGGTCCCTTTATGCCACGGCTACTATGATCAGAAAATCAGAAATTACAAGTTTTCTTTTCTACCTGGGTGGTGAAAAATCAAAGGTAGAAATATTAAAACTTCTCATGTTATTATTTAATTGTTAGTACTGAGCCACCAGGATAGTTAGGCCTAATACTTCTACCTTAATGGACACAAATCCTGCCTTCCAATGTAAGTTTACAAACTACTTAAAATAGAAGTGAAGATGTTTAGATCTATATTAAGGTATCATACAACTATTACACCACTATGGTTCTCTTTCAAAATTCAAACACAAAAAAGCACAACTAATCAACTATAATTCATACATCTCTTCCTTATATTATTAATTTCATTGCATTTTCCATTTACACTACTTATTATCTTAAATTTTATTATTTCCCTAAGCCCTCTCTACATGCTCATTCTCCCTTAGAGCAAAACAATTATATGGAAAACCCCAAATGTGGAAACTTTCCTTACTTTATTGCAATAAATAATTTGCCAAGGGAGTAATTTGGGTCTATTCAATGTCAAACACATTTCTATATTTTGGAAAATTGGTTTATATGACTGAACTTAGAATAAAACAAGGCACAGAGAAACCATGGCCCATCATTCGAGATCCACCTCTCACATTAGCCTATTAAAGAAGATACCATTTTTACTTCTATTCCAGTTACCAGGCCCCACTTAATAATCCAGTTTTTCCAGTGATCAAAAATGAATGCTATTTATCAGTGGGTTATCCCATCATTAACACCATAGTTTCCCCAATTAAATCTCCTGAACCCAAATTCCATATGATCATCAGCTGGAAAATATTTCACTGCTGTGAATGTGACACATTCAGTGCCTATTCCAACAACTTCACAGTGACAGTCTGGCTTTACCTTCACACACCTTACCTGCCACCTGTGTGCTGTCTCAACAACCTTGCCTTCACACCATCTTTACAGGAAGGAGCTCAGTCATGCCCAGCTTTCTCCAGAATCACAAGTGTGTGACAGTACAATGACAATGTCCTTCCCTGAGAAGAATCAGTTGACACTCAATTCACCCAAATATTCACAGATCAGTTCATAAAAGAGGGATACTCCATTGTCGTGTACATAGTCCTCATTTATGAATTTTAATTAAGTCCAGTTCTGCTGTTACCTTCAAATTGGGTCACTTTAAATGGGACTCTGATAACAAAAGATCTAGAATATTTCCAAATGTAGTAAGTCGCAAAATCCCATTAGCACCCTTCAGACTCTCCTGTATTTTGGAGCACTCAGCAGTTTTCTCTCATGCATCTTGGAATCTCTGGCATACACATGTTGGCCACAACAACTGCTACAGAAACATCATACGCTGTGGTTTGTTGAAGTGTCCTCCAGCGGCCAGGTATTGCGGTTGTTCTTCATCCTGTGGCACCAATGGGAGGAGTGGGGACCATCAGAGGTGGGGGCCCTTGAGAGTTTTGAAGTCACATGGGAGCGTGCTCTTAAAGGGATATGGGCCCCTCCTCTTCCTCATCTTCCCTTCCTGGCTGTGCTGAGGTGAACAGATTGCTGTATCATGAACTCCTGCTATGATGTGCTGCCTCACCGAAGGCCCACAGTAACAGGGCCAGCCAGTCATGCGTTGAAACCTCCAAACCTGTTAGGTAGGAGATTCTGCAAGGGGAAGGGACCACCCCTGGGCCTCTCAGGTCCACTTAGGGCCCTCACAATACTCCATGTGAAGCCCCTTCCTGTGAGGGGAAGCTGGATCGGGGTGTGGTTAAAATGAGAAAGTCAGATGACCACAAGGGGAGTGCCAGACCATGAAGGGAAACCCCAGTCTTGGTAATGCTCAATAGCCCCAGTGACTGAGGGCTAACATATGGCTCAAGGCATGTTAAACAATAACATTATATCTTTATTATATCATTAGTATTATAGTCTGTTCCCCCTCTGTGAATTTTCTGAGGCAAAAAGAAACTTACACCTGGGCAGGAGAAAAGAAATTATATTATTTCAAGTGTCAATCGAAGTGCCAATCAAATCCAGATCCACCCAAGGGAGAAGGGGTTAATTAGTAATAGTCCAATAAATGCAAAATTCACCATGATGAGGCCTTGAGCTCCTTTACAACTAAGACCATTCTGCTCTCCCAGAGTGGTACTTTGGCTTTCAATAAATATCTGCCTTGCTTGCCAACCTCTCAAGTCTTGCTCAATTCTTTGCTCAGGATGCCAAGATCCTGGACCTGGAACCCCCTGGGGATCCCTGCCCTTGCATAGGTAATGAAGCAATGAGCAAAAACAAACCATCCCCCTCCCCCCCTTTTTTTTTTTTTTGGTGCCAGGAATTGAACTCAGGGGCACTTGGCCACGAACCACATCCCCAGCCCTATTTTGTATTTTATTTAGAGACAGGGTCTCACTGAGTTGCTTAGTGCCTTGCCATTGCTGAGGCTGGCTTCGAATTTGCAATCCTCCTGTCTCAGCCTCCTGAGCTGTTGGGATTACAGGAATGCACCACAGCTCCCTGCTCAAACTGTTCTTCTTTTTAAGTTGGTTTATCTCAGTTACAGATAAATCTCAGTTTACCTTGTTACATTAATGAAAGGCAGACCACCACACATGGGAAGTCATATATATATGGATATACTTCATAAGCACAGCTTAGTTTGGAGAATGAAGATAACAGCTATGGATTGTGAGCCTTAGGCCCAGTAGCCCATTGTACCTTGGCACATGAAGGCCGCACCCCACAGATCCAGCAGCACTTTAGAAAGCTGCTTGTTGAAATGAAGATTATACATACATGAAAGAGCCTCTGGCATATCCCACCTACAGAAGAAAGTGACTTTCCATGTTCAATCCCTTACCAGCTGCAATTGGGAAGGTTACCCCATTCCTGGACACATTGGCCGGGAGAGCCCCTGTGGATCAACTGAATGAACACAAAAGATTATTGAGGCCAGAGTCACCATTACATGTGATGGAATCACAAGGGGCTTACTGCTATCCATCCCTAACCAGGATGTCCCCAACTGCTATAGCTTGGATCTTGAGTGCCCTCAGATACCCATGTGTTAGAGGCTTGGTCCCTGGGGTGGAGGGTGCTGTTGGAGGAGGCAGAATCTTTAAGAGTTAGAGCCTAGTGGGTTGTTTTAGGTCACTAGGAATAAGCCCTTGAAGGGGATGGGACCCCAGCCCCCTCCTTGCTCTCTCTTTGCTGCCTGGCCCATGAGGTGGTGGCTCCTCCATAGGCCCCCACACAATGTACTGCAACTGGAATCTCTAGAGCCGAGAGCTAAAATTAACCTGTACTCTAAAGTGAGTGGCGGAACATTAACACATAAAAGTAGGATCATTCTCATGGATCAGCACAGACAGACACTTCAAGCAGTTATCTTAACAGTAGAAAATGTCAGGGTCGATCTGGTGGTGTAATCAGTGGTAGAGCACCTGCCCAGCTTGTGCAAGGGAGAGTTCAATCCCCAGTACTGAAAAACTAAATCTCTGGTCCTATCTGCACATTCTTTTGACTCTAGGGCCACCACCAACTTTCTAGCTGACTACTTTGACCAACAGCAACAACTCTGTGCTCAAGGTTATCATCTTTGCCATGAAGAACTCTGGGAATATCATCAGGGGACTAAAAGCATAAACCAAACTCATGTGTGTCTCTGCACATATGGAAGCTGCAGGGCCTCTCCAGGTACTCGGTGTTCCTTTTAAGCTCCACATGTTGTTTATAGTGACCAAGGCACTCATTTCCATGGTAAAAATCCTCCACGCACAGCCTGGGCTCCTAAACCAGGCTTCCACAGACCTCTGATCTCACAGGAGCTCTAACTGTTGGCCTCCTAGAGCACCCAATGTCATACTTACATGAGTTCAAATAAGTATGAAGAACTGTGCACCTCAGCCTGCACTCAAACTCTGGGGGAACTTTAACAGGATCAGTCCATCTTTGATGTTTGACTTCTGCAGGCCTCAGACTCCATCCACCCTTCTCCCTTCTTACCCCACACCTGAGCTCCCTCTCTGCACTGGGGAGGCTGAAACTGTGAGGAAAAAAATCTCCTGTGTCAGGTGGAACCCCCACCTCACCCCCAATGACAGTAAAAACTGTCATTCTACCCTCCCCTCACTGGGCCCTCTTTCCACCCCTGGGATGGCTGTCCTGTGCTGCCCCCAGCCTGAACACACGAGTAACCCGTGCATACTCTTAGGCATATGCACGGGTTGTTACCCCAACATTCAGGCTGATTTTGAATTCAGGGGTATTAATCTTGCCTTCTGTGGATCAATTGCAAGACAACTTATTATTTGGAAGATAATTAGAATATAAGTTCCAAAAGATTAGAGGCTGTACTCATTTTTGTTGGGTCCTGTATCTCTGGGACATGGAGCAATGCTGAGATATACTAAACATCAAACCCATTTGCTAAATGAATGAATGAATCTGCACCGAAGCCTCCCAATATTCCTTCTTCCAAACCACAAAGCCACCTGTGATTGACACACCATTAGAAAAGATTAGACAAGAGACTCAGAAACTAAGCTGGAGGTAGTTTTTTCATTTACATCAAGAAAATAAGTTTCTGTCTACCCATTTCTATCAATAGCTATAAAGGGGAATGTATTGAACTCATAGAAAAAGGGAGGAGAGAAGACAGGAGCAATAATGTCTAAGGATACCTCAGAAATATCTGCTATCTATAGTTATTGACAATTATTCATTAACTCAAAGCCACCTGATCTCACAAGCTGTTATGTTAATGTCTTAACACTGGCTAAATTATGAATACTGTCTGATTATTGCTGATTATATGTAGGATAATATAAGATGAAAACTAATTATAGGAGGGTATTTTAAGATGATTATTTTTTGAAAGATAGCATTGCCAGCACAGATACAGTTTACCATATCTATGCAAAACCGATCTGCACATTCAAATAACAAATTAAATTTGAAGCATGAAACAGAAAGCATTAAAGATCCATGGTGTGAGTCCACTAAAGAGAAATATTTAAGTGAAAAGAAAAGGGGATCAAAAATAACTTTCTGTCTTACAGGTAAAGGAAAAGACTCTTAACTGGGGTAATGCAAAGAGAGCTGTATAGGATTCCTGCTTCACGGATTTTCAGATTAGCATTTGTTGCAACTCTTGCCTGCTCCTGAGATGCCCCTGGCCCTTGCGGTCAGACTGCTACTCACACTGTGTTTTCTCCTTCCCAACACATGCACCTTTGATTTTTCAAATTATAAGCCAGGAAAGGAAATAGGCTGCATAGCCAAGGCTATTCAATGAGAGTCCTGGATGTCAAGGGTGAAAATCACGTTATCTGTTTCAGTTATCTATTGGAGTGCAACCAGCCATGCCAAAATTTGCTGATGTTAGCAATTAGGGCTTGGGCTCTTCTTACCTGCAATCCTTCTGCTGCTAGGAGGTGTTATTTCTGGCTAGTGAGGGGGGTGCCTCTGTTTTCTTTGTGGTCTCTCATCTTGTAACAGGCAACACCAATCATTGAGGAGCTGTGGTAGGTCAGTATTCTGAGAGGAGATCAATGCACAGGCTTCATTTAATTATGTATCATTGTCCTTAGGGATACAGCCAAACCTGAAGCCAACAAAGAAAATAACTACACACAGGCATAGAAAAGGAGAGGTGGGATTTCCTGGAGGCCAGAGAGGAATAATCTACCACATGATCCTAGCCATGCATAAACAGGAATAGAAGCAGAAACAAATTAACTCTTACAAGTAACCTAGGGGCTGGTGTCACTCAGAGATAAAGCACTTGCCTGGCATGCATGCAGCCCTGGGTGTGATCCCTAGAACTCTAAAATTAAAAAATAAAAGATGAAGTGAAGCAAAAGGAACTCACTTTGACTAAGAAATGCCTCTTAAAAACTCACAAACCCCCCCCCAATTCAATCTTGCCTTAAGAAATATACTCTAAATTAAAACACAGAAACAGTTTATTTTTGAGGTAAGACTATTAAAAATCCTACTCCTCATGAAGTCCATGTATATAATGCATATAACTCAGAGAGTACACCAAAAGACAACCAAGGAGCAAAAACAATTCTTATTTGTGGGAACAAAACACACTTGGTGATGATAAGACACGTGTTCTTATATTCTAGTCAACCCTAAAATGAACTTTCTTTACCTGCATGTATTTCTTATTAAAATTTAAATGTCATGCAACACTAACTCTGTTTATGACTTTCTCACTTTGAGACCTCTGTAAGTTGCAATATTTATCTTGATATCCACATACAAATTAAGACAAACTTTATTCATCTCAAAACTCTCATTTTCCTCTGGTATTAAAGTTTTAATTTAGTACAGTGACTACTTTAATTCTATTGTACTTAACCTCACTAGAATTCATTGACCTCAAAAAAGCCAGTGTGTAATTGTGATTTTCTATTTATTGCTCCTTTTTAAGTGGTTTTCTCTGTGAATTCTGGTCTGATGCGAGGCAACTAAGGATCTTATTAATTATTTGAGATCAAACAAAATTAAATGCATTTGTCTGTTTTTACACGCTTCCATTAATCATAAATTAACAAGTTTCCATACATCTAAATACTCTCCTACAGAGGCACACTGCACCAGATAGGGGTGGGAAGACTGAAGCTGGCTCACTCACTCCCTGACACCTCAGTGAAGCTCAGATTTGGACTAAGAAAAATGCTCACTCTTTACCAGAAGAATCGTATGACAAGTGATTCAGTGTTGGAATGGAATCTGTTTTCCTGGTGTGAAAGGCGCTCACATTACCAGTAAGAACTAGAGTAATTTTGAATGTCCTTCTGGGTCAGAGAGAGAATTCACACATGTCTTTTGAGCCAGTGGGGTCTTATGAAAGAAGGCCAAATTTGAAGGAGAGAAGTGTCAATTAATCCACAGCATTTGATATAATCCTTATTTCCCAAAAGCCTATACTGGGGTGAAGAACAAGTGGAGAAGATGCTTCAGATTTGCTAGTTCTGCATTCTGCACAACGGGCTCTCAGTGCTCTTCATGGGGTGATGAGCTGCTTGCTCTGCTGGCCAGCACTCGTGTGCTCACACGCACACACACGAGCACACGGGTGCAGACCATGGAGACTTGGATCTCAGGCTTCTCTGTTCTAAGACAATTCACTCTCCTCTCAACTCATGGGGTATAGAACTGTAAGTAACTGCCAATTCTTCACCTGAACTTGACAGAGAAGGTTCTGGGAGGTTCTGGAGTTCAAAGAAGTGAGGGTAGAAATAAGGAAGCTGATTTCAAATCACACCAAATGAGGTATTAATTTTAGAAGCCTCATCCTACTGATTCTTCATACATATCTAGCAAAAATTTTTAATAACTTGACTTTTAAGTTCTTTCAGGAATAAAATGTGTTTTAGAAAGTTTATTTTCAATCATGCTAAATTTATTTCCTTAAGTAGTTATTTCATTATGATGTAGATTTAAAATTATCAATTCCTAAAATGGAACACCTGGCAAAAATTATTTTAGATGGGGATTTAGAAAAATAATTATTTCTTACTAGGCTGTTTTTATTATCTTTCTGAACTGAAGGTTGGTGTTATCTTTTCAAGAAACAAATAGATCTTGAAATTATTCTGATCTTTGTAGATTTGTTTCTTAAGAGCTATATCAGTTATAAAGTCTTATGTTTGAAAGGGTATTTGTTTTTTTTTAAAAGAGAGAGAGAGAGAGAGAGAGAGAGAGAGAGAATTTTTTAGTATTTATTTTTTAGTTTTCGGTGGACACAACATCTTTATTTGTAGTGGTGCTGAGGATCGAACCCGGGCTGCCCGCATGCCAGGCGAGCGCGCTACCGCTTGAGCCACATCCCCAGCCCCTGGTATTTGTTTTAAATGGATGCTTTCCTGTCAATACATGACACTTTTAATTATACCTAGAAAGTATTAATTTTATCTTATTTGCTTATTTATTTTTGTGGTGCTAGGAATTGAACCTAAGCTTTATGTATGCTAGGTAATTGCTCTACCACTGAATTACACCTCCAGCCCTGGAAATTATTAAAATGTCTGAAACACTAGATATTAGAAAGAATGTACCAAGTTTTCTAGATATCTTATTGATAATTTTTTAAAAAGAAAACACTTAAACATTGATGTTACTGCAGAGTAGTACATCTTATGTGACAGCCAGTGAAATTAAAGTCGATTAAATTCCTCAGTATGGACTTTGGAATTATCCTTCTCCACTATTGAATTCCACTGTGGTGAAACAGCCTTGAAAAATACTTATATTGATTTATAGGGTTTTTCAGTAAACATATTTGCCAACCTTCAGACACTTAGCTTTTAGTTCACCATTGATTTATTCGTACCAACTTCTCCTTCTTTATTGTCCCTGTTTGCAAAGAGACGCTAAATAGATGTAATAAGAAATAACTTGGAAAAGATAGAAAGCAATGAACAGATGATAGAAGACTGACAGGTGGACAGAGAGATGGACAGTTAGTCAAAGGCTCTTCACTGTCTCCCTTCTCCCTACCCTGTATGCAGCATTTGGGATTTGCCGAAAGCTTATCTCACACCAGTGAGGTAGCCAAAGTAAGTACAGGGTTGACCAGACTCCAAGACCTTTAGAACAATCATCTCTGGACTGCAAATACACCTGCAGGGGCATTTTCTCAGGCCATGAGACAACTCATGTTTATTATGCCTAGAATTATTCCAAGATCTAGAACATCATCAAAGGATGACCCTGTCTTAAGGTTAACTGTTGAAGAACCAGAAGTCTCTAGTCATACATGAAGCACTGAATTCATTATAGTGCAATGTTTTCCTCCTGATAAAACAAACTGCATCAAATGGCTGGCATTTTGGAAATTTCCAGCATATTAGAATATTGAACAATTCAAATTAGAATTCTTAGCCTAACATAAGGGTAATTAGGATTTGGGAAATTGGGAATACCAAAATTACAAGCAATGCAGAAAAGATTATAAACACACACATAACTCTTATATCTCAATGCAAATTTAACTTAGAGTCAACTATTAGATTTTGCCTACACCTAATTGTGCTCAGAAACAACAGCCTATTCTTTTTCCTTTAATTCTTTATTTAAACCTCCACTGTCTCACTTCCTAGGTAAGCAGTTTTATGCAAACAGTATTTATCTTTGGAGGTCAAGTGATATACAACATGTTAATGACAGAAATTAACTTTGACCCCAAATAATTTTATAAAATCACACTTTAATTAATAAGGATGTTTTTTTCTTTAAGTAGTTTCCATGTGACATTTTAGACATTCTTAAAATATCTTTGTCAAGTTCAGTAATGCATTTCATATTATTATTTTAATTTTTGCATCTGAGAGTACCAGCAAGATTAAACCATGTTTCATAGTCATATCAAAGGTTATTTCCATTTGTAACTTATCTCTTTGTGTTTATGTGCAGTTTGCTGCTGGAGAGGTTTATTTTTCTGTTACTAATTTGAAAAGTAGGGGGGATCCAACATGGCGGAGAGTGGGGAGGCAGTGCTTTCAGTACCTCCGCAACAACGGGGTCAGAGAGACGCATGGATACGCTTAGATTCGACCTGCTGAGAAACTCCTAGCAAAATTCCACTAAAGAGAGACCGGCCGGGAATTTGGTAGGATCTTTGGAGGTGACAGTTTGCCCTAGACGAGTGAATCTCCGCCACGCAGCGCAGAGGTCCAGACCCGCCAGCCGCTGCCCGCGCGACTCGGCGACTGTCGGGCTGCCTGCACGCTGCCTCCGCGTCTGGGCGGATAGCCTCCACAGCGCGGCGCAGCAGGAGCGGTGCAGGGACTCTAGGAAGAGGTCTCTCGCCAAGCCTTCATGAAATAGCGAACCGGGAGCTGAAACCAACCAGAGACAGACCAGTCCCACCCCTCCCTTCGGACACTCCGGAAAGGAGCCTGGGGCCCACCATAGCAGACAGGTGACTTCACCAGAGTTCCGCCTATGGAATTCCTTCCCAGCGGAATCCACATTAGCAGGTGTGTGACTCCCACCCCCTCCAGATACAAGCAGCCAGGAAACCGGGGGCGTGTCTGTAGGGAAGCAGAGGGGATTCCAGATCCCCACCTTCCCTTAACACCAGCGGCGACACCCAAGATCTTAGCCGCCAGTTTCTGGGGGCGTGCCCACCAAAGGGGTCCAGAAAATTTAAACTGTTGGTTCCCAGATCACCCCACCACAGCACTGGGGCTTAGATGAATGACAGAGAGGGTGTTCATCGTTCGGGATATAGGACACGCGGTGGGGCTGCAAGTGTAATCAGACACTTGGGGAACCGCCTCCGGTGAACAGGACCTGGCTGGCTGGCTGGGAGGAGGAACAGGGGGAGGGGCCGGATAAGTGAAAGGGCTCTGGACTAACAGGATTGAGAGACTCCCAGGAGCCACCTTACAGTGATTTCTGTCAGCACATAGAGGGCAGAAGCTCGGCTCGGAGGGCACAGCTCTGCCTATTGGAAGAGAAGAAAATGGGATTCAGCCATAGAACAGGGGATGCCAGCATGGCAGAGATCTGATGTCATCGGAGAGCGGCCGAGGAGACAACTTCATCGGTGCCAGCGGAAACGGAAACAGTTGGTCAACTGGTAGGGAGGGTGAGTCACAGATACCCGAGTCTCTCTCGCTTTGTCGTGGAGCCAGAGGGGAGGAGCGGGGCCGCCGCCTGCACCCGCAAGGTAGGCAGACCTGCGACCAACCTGCAGATCAGGCCCAGCGGACTGCGGGCGTGGTAGGAGGGGCAGGGCAGAGCCGCCGCCCGCGCCGGCAAGGTAAGCAG